GGCTAGGTTGGAAGAAAAGTCGTTGTATGCTGTTGGGTGCTGCAATTGCTGGCCGACACGGGCTGTTGTTGCGCCTAGGTGATCACCTACAGGCTTTGACCAGCTTACTTTGCTGCGGCGATTGCTGGGAATTGCGGCTGCGCCTGTGGACTATGTACGGACTACGGGCGACTGCGTATCACGACAGGGTGCTGCGGATAGCTGCAGCACTCAGAGTGATTGCTTGGTGATGAGTGACTGCAATAAGAGTGAAGAGGAGGCTGCTGCCGCAGGGGCTTGGAAGAGTGGGGCAACGCGGGGGGAGAAGTTACCACTTCGGGGGTCTGGGAGTTTGATTCCATTGGCTGACTTTGGGAGCTGATCAAATTGTCATTTTGGCCATCATTGCGGGGCCCTCAGGCGCTGAAGACATCAAGGCCCTAGTGCACCCCTCTTGTATCTGAGAGACTCAATGTTTCTTCTTCTGCCCTTCTCACTCTCAGTTTAGTCCATTGGTTCTGAGAGGAAGGCGGCAGGCGGGATTGCAACCCGTAATCCGCGCCAAGGCCATTGTGGGAGGTTCGCCCCACGGATTGCAGGAGCTCTGCCGGAACTCAGGAGGAGTTCAAGAGGCAGGGAACTGAAGGGTAACCATTGCTTTCCTTTATAAACCTAGTATAACCCCTACCTACATTTCTCCCTATGTATTGTTTGGCTATGCTGAATGCAACCTCTACTTTGACTTTTGGACTAACTTTCAGGACACAAGTCAGGTCAACTAAAGGAATGATTGTATAATGGCAGTTTCAGTTTTTTTGATTGTCTTAAGGCAGATTGTCACAAAGGGTTGCATCAGGGGGGAAGGTTGGGAGGAAGGCAGTTTTGCTTGCGATTGGACGGGTTTTACAGGGTCGGACATTGTTTCTAAGATGAATGGCCTGACTGCTATGTTTTGTTCTGTTTTCTGAAGAACCAAGCATTGTTTCTAAGATGAATGGCTTGGTTGTGGTGTTTCTTTAATTTCACCAGGCATTGTTTCTAAGATGAATGGCCTGGCTGCTTATTTTTTTGAAGGGTATTGTTTGCTTGACTTTTGAGCGCCAGACATTGTTTCTAAGATGAATGGTCTGGCCGCTGTTTACTTGGGTGGTTTCTGAACAGTCTCTGGGTCAGACCCAGGGTACTCTGTTTTTTTTGTGTGCTGAAAAAGGGAGAGTTGAGCATTGTTTCTAAGATGAATGACTCATCTCTCCTTGGTTGTTTTATTCTGAGGGAGGATTCAGGGTCAGAGGACTAGACATTGTTTCTAAGATGAATGGTCTAAATCTGAGGCCTCAGGGCCATAATGAGAACAAAGGAATAGGGTTCTCTATAATGTTGTATATATATGTACTTATATACGAACAAGGCTAGCCAGGCATTGTTTCTAAGATGAATGGTCTGGCTATAAACCTATCATAAGCGAAGAGAGTGTAATCGAGAGCTATAACTGAAAGTAACCTGGGCAGGCTAAGCATTGTTTCTAAGATGAATGGCTCAGCCCTACGCCCWCTTTTTGAAGACTAAGGTGCAGAGAGGTATATATAACTTGGCTACTTAAACAGTTCAGGGCGACTAAGCATGGTTTCTAAGATGAATGGCTTTAGTCACATGCCCAATGAAGAGAAAAGTAGTTGTGCAACCTGTTCGTGTATTACTAAGGCAGAGGGCAGRCATTGTTTCTAAGATGAATGGTCAGTCTCAATGCCCTATGTAAGCAGGGTATAAAGGGTTAAAACACTGAAAGACTATGAACTAATGTTTGCTAAATCAACTTRGGGATGGTGAGAGTACTTACCTTTGTGGTTTGGCTTGCATGTGGMTGAGTGGCATCACTACCTAGTCTGAGTTTGAGTTGATAGGTAGTTGCTGTAGTGGCTCGCCACGTGCTAGAGCTGTAGGACTTAGATTCAATTTCTGTATTTTCTGAGATAGTTTTTTTTACTTAGTCTGATTTCTGCATTTATCTTAGGTCTTTCTTATACTTGGGCTTGTATAAATCTTGGTAAACCACTTTTCCTACGAGAAGCGCTGCCGAAATTTCTACAAATCCAAGGAGTTAGTCAAATTTAGGCTTTTCAGATCTCAGTTTGTCTAAGTTACATATATGACCTAGTAGAAATCTGGAAAGTCTCCCCTTCTAAAGGGAGTGCTGCCCAAATTTTTGCTAGGTCAAGGAGTTAGACAAAATTGAGCTTTGAAAAGTCAAAGACTATTTTTGTTTTGGTATTCAGGCTTATATAAATTATGGAAAGGCAGTTTTCCTACGGGAAGCGCTGCCGAAATTTTCTTAGTTTAGAGGAGTTCGATTATATTATGACAGGTGGCAGAGTTGGAAGTCCACTCTGTATAGGGGAAACCCAGCCAAAGGTCTACCTTTTCTCCGGACCCTGACTTAGGACTAGGCTCAGACCTAGTTGGATACCAGGAGGTAAGATGAGATTACCATATAAAAGATAATTTGTATAAGGCTTTCGAATTTAGCTTGGGCGTTGGCCTGTCTTATGTTACAGGCCGGCTTGATCAATCTGATTCAGGACTTGAGCTAGTCCATCTTGATCCTGCAAGGATCATCATCTGTTATCACTGATAAAAGGTCGGTTGCCGATTCGTCGGTTCGCGACTCAATTCCTACTCGCTCCCCGTACTCAACCTAAAAGGCTTTAGCCCTGGTGATCTTCTTGTTTGTTAAGGGTTTCACCCGGACTTTTATTGAATGGCCATTTAACAGAGGTTCTAAGTATTTATTTAAGGTTGGTTGGCTGGAGGTTGGGGCTTGCATGGCTAAAGCGAGAGGTATGAGTATAGGAACTGGTTGGAGTTGACTCCGTGTAGTGTGTGGACTCTTGTCTGACTTTTGATATGATTGCAGGTATGTTCAGAGACTTGGGGTTTTGGTTGGGTTGCCTTGCCGTCGCGTATATATGTATGGTTAGAATGAGACTTACTATGACTGTGAGAAGTGATCGTCACATAATTATCCCCCTTGTGTATATGTATGTGCGAGTGTATGTATACCTACGAGAGGAATTAGCGCGGCCTGAAGTGCCCGCGCAGTAAGGGCCTCGAGCCTAACACGAGAGAAGTTTTTCTTTAATAAACGGTAAAAGTGCTCGTTTTCCTTCCTTGTTGCGATTTATCTTGGTGAAACGATAAAGTTCCGGGCGGAAGGGCTAGCATGTCGTTGGTGATGCACCAGGCAACTCACCACCGCTCCAAACCCCTTCCTGCCCTAGGGGCCGTCTTGCCCCGCACCCATTGGGACACCTTAGGGTGCAAAAGGCGGGAAGGCCCTCAGGTCGGTTTTGCGCCAGCTAAAGGGCAACCCCCTTTTGCTCGCACTTCAGCCAATGCCTGAGCGTTGAAGGTGACCCCTTTGGCTCAGAATAGGTCATTTGGGTGTGGGCACTACATAATGCGCCACCATCGCAGTTACTCGTGTAGAGCTGCATAACGAGATAGTATGTGTAAGTCCAGCGCCCTCACGATCTTATACTTAGTTCGCGCGCGACACTCGTCGCATCCCGCACTAAAAAAGTTATGGGTCAGGCGGCGAGACCACGAGCGCGATACCGCCAGTAAACTTGGGGTTTTGGTAACTTGAAGCGGCACGTGGGCGGAGGACTAGCCCCGGTCAGCCTATGGGAGTCCGTGTACGGGCTTTATTATCCCGGACTCCGGGTAGCCTATGGGTAGGATTCCGGACCTCCTCCGCGCGCGCGTCGTTTGGGCTTACCCACCCCCTTCCATTTTTAGAAGGTCATCAGCTAAATGGGGGTTGGAGTGAGTTTCCTTTTTGCGTTTTCATGGTTGGACGTTATAGTCCGTGGCGGTCGTCAAAGTCAAACCCCTTGATGTTCGACTGTCACGACAGCTTAAAGATGTCTACTCAACCCCTCTGCACAGGGTGCAGAAGAGGGTGTGGTCTTCAATTGCGCATGGCAGTTGTCCAACGTCGAGAGATTAACCCTCAAGGCGCGTGTCAGTCGACCCTTGAGTGTCGAATGCGACCCTCGAGATTAACGAGGACCGCATGGATGTGGGTACCATATAGTACGTCATCACTACGACCGCTTGCGCACGTTTGCATCGTGAGTCAAATGTGAGTAGCCCTGTGTCTGCGCGATTTTTGATACTAAAGTCTCGCGCGCGATACCCACCCGATTTCTGCGTCGAAGGGTTATGTGACGGCTACTGAGGGGGGAGGGGCGTCGTCGCGTTGTTTGTGCCATGTCGTTTTGTATGTGTATGTGTGTGCGTGTGTTCCTTTTGTGTTCTTAGAGTAGTGTATGCGTGGTAAGTGGGATACGTCCTAGCCGACTGGCGACGAACCGCCCTTGGGACTTCAGCCCCCCAAGGTGTCGGTCCGCGTGCGGGTCCGATAGGCGTGCTACCGCGCGTACCCCCTATGTTACAACGAACGAGAAACGCCCTCGGCTGGTCCACCTTTGCGATTGCAATTGAGTAGCTTTCGTACTGTGGACTGGTAGCTCGGCGGGGATACGCCCACTGAAGGTAAGGTGGAGGTAAGTTGTGCCTCGTGTAGGCCCTATCCTGTCGTAGGGGCTCGCGAGAGGTATGGCGGGCGCACTCGGCCGGAGCGGCCTAAGGAAGCTTCATTGTGTATTCGCGAAAAGGTTAGTCCAACTCCTGCGTGACGCGGCCGAGAGAGTCCCGCGCTGCCACGAGCAGTGTCGGGCCGATGCGCTCGACAGGTGGCGTCGTTGCCGGGGATAACGGAAGCCAACCGTTGTCCCTGGTGGAACGACATCCGGGTACGAGTGAGAAATAGGTATGAGAGAGTGACTAAAGTGTAGGATGAGTGATAAGGGACTAAGTGTAAAAAGGGAAAGTTAGCATTCGTATATGTGTATTTGATTGAGTTGCCCGGTCCTAGCAAGGGCATAAAGGGTGACAATACTCACGACAAGGGGGAGGCTAGGTGGGAGGCGCGGGCTAGCCCAGGTTGGAGTAGGATGCTAAGTAGGTGAGTGTCTTTGGCTTTCTCTTAACAGGAATTTTGAAAAGGAGGCCTGCCAAGATGCCGGAGGGTGGTGACGCCGGAAGGGTCCTGACCATCGAGGATCTCATCGCAGCCCTAGATCGATACGAGAGGACCCCGAGTAACGTTCCGAAGGTTGAGACCTTCCTTTTCGATGGGGAGAGGGTCTTGGATTGGCTAGATTTGGTGGAGCAGGCAATGGTGGGACTGTCAGATGAGGTCAAATTTCAACGCGTTATGAGGTATGTGCTCCATAGGCACCACCAGGAAGTGGAGAAGGTTGTGGACGCTGCCCATGGCAGCTGGGCAAGATTCAAGGAGAACATGCTGCGCAAGTATCGGTTGGGTGATGGGTTGCTTACCATCCAAGATCTTGAGGGGATGAACAAGGATGACTTTACCACGATAGGGGCCTTCGTACAAGAGTTTAAGAAGAAGGCGAGGAAAGTTCACGGGATCTCTGAGGAAAGGCAGTGCGCTATCTTTCTGGGGCTGCTCACTGTGTCAGAGGCAGCCGAACTGATGAGCCATGGAGCAGGCAGCGCAAAGCTTACCTGGGCCACCATCGACAGAGGAGTGGAGGATGGGAGTTTGGACCAGGTAGAGAAGCATCAGATGCGCCTGCAAAGGAGGAAAAGAAAGGAAAGGGATGCTACTGCATCAGGGACCCCGGGGGTGAAGAGGATTATCACTGATGTACTTGCGGCATTAGGCTATGGCCAAGATACCGAGGCGCAGAGAAAGGCGGTAGCCGTGGTCCAAGGCCGAGGGAAAGAGGTGGGGGATGAAGGCGCCAGGCAAGAGGATTACGGTGGGGAGGAGACGGGGTAACAAATCCTTACCAAGGCCCAACGGAAGCAACGCAATCTGTTGCAGGGTGGCCAAGGGTCTGGCAAAGGATAGGCCCCCCAGGCAATCGCTGCACCACCAGTAGCCGCTGTAACCGCGCCCATATCGACAGGGCCGACGCCAATGGGGCCACCCCCGGCCTGCGGACATTGGGTACCGCATTGTCGAGCGGCACCCTGGCCCAGCTGTAGTCATTGTACCTCGTGTGGAGGGGGCCAATACCGGACAGATGGTTCCATTCTCGGTTCCGTCGACGAACGCAGGGCCGCCGAGTTTCCCGGCGACTCAAGGCCAATTCACGGCCCTGCCTCCCCCCTCACAGCAAGCGTCGCAGGCTAGTGTGGCAGGAGGAGGAGGCCAAGGGCAAGGAGGACAGGGCAATGGTGGTCGGGGACAAGGAGGCCGAGGGGGTGGCGGACGAGGCCGAAATGGAGGAGGACGTGGCGGCAGATGGAACAACCAAGGGGGCCAGGGCCAAGGAGACCAAGGTAGTCAGCAAGGAGGCCAAGGGTATGGGAGACCCCGCTTCGACTGGCGGAACGCAACCTGCTGGCATTGTGGTATTGTAGGCCACACGATTCGATTCTGCCAGCAACGGCGGGATGATGAGCTTGCGGGCCTGATTTCCTCTTGTATGGATGGGGATATATACGACAAGTGGGGGGAGCACATTGACCCCAGGACCCCGGGAGGGATCAGGCAGGAGGCCCTCAGGCGGGCGGCGGCAGGGCCATCGACCACCCCGGCCATGTTTAGACTTTGGCAGGAGAGAGAAGACCCGGCCATAAGGATCGAAGAGATCACGGGGGATAGTGAGGAGGTTATGCAACGATTAAAGGCCGGGGCCATAAAGGAAGAGCCGATAATTGTGGAGTCAGATGGTGAGGAGAGAGAGGATGAAGGGGAGCCGGCCGTAACCACCCTGGAAAAGATAAAGGATTTAATGGAAAAAATAGGGAGATACCAGCGGAAGCTGAAAGAGTTATGTGATGAAGTCCAAGGGTGGAGAGTCGACCTCCCAAAGGTCTTCCTCTATGAGACCGGGCCGGGGCCGGCAACTGGACAGCAGAGTAGCCCCGGGGTTGTCGTGACGGGGTCTGGCCCCAGGTTAGGAATGATGTTCAGACCACCCTCTCCGCACGGGCGGGCGCCGCAAGCAACTCAAACCAGGAGCCAAAGTAAGGTGGGTCCTAGTCAGCCACCAAGCCAAGCGCCAAGTCAGGCACCCCCACGGAAGAGACCTGAGCCTGAGCGTAAAAAAGAGGTGGTTCAGGTCCAGGAGGAAGAGGAAGAGGATGACGACACGGAGGATGAGAGACTCCGTCAGGAGGAGGATCGGCGGGAGGAGCAGAGAGCGCAGAAAAAAGAGGCGCATGAGAGAGCCGAGCCAGGTCTACAGGATGGTGTGCCCAGGAAAAGAAAGTACACTGTCAGGTTGGAGGAGGACTTTGACGTAGAAAGGATGGTGGACCGGCTCCTTGAAGGTCATAACGACCTTATGAACTTAAAGGATATTCTGGCATCCGCACCAAGACTCCGGGAAGAGTTGAAAGGGCGATTGTCTCGAAGGCTGGTGCCCAACGTGCATTTGAGCGTCATCCTGCCCAGGGAATTGGGATGGACACAAGCTGGGACGAGGATGGACTGGAAGTGCGCGCCATGCAGACTGGTGGACTTGGTAATAAAAGAGAAAAAGTGCGTGGCGATAATGGATACGGGCGCTGAAATGAATATCATTAGGAAAAGAGATGCGCTCATGCTCGGGATGGAGATCGACCGTGCAGATCATGGTGTGCTGCACGGGGCTAATTGCAAAGCAATTTTTTGTGGCACAGCGTTGAATGTGATCATAGAAATTGGCAAGGTGCTAGCAAGGACGAGCTTTTTCGTCATGCCAGATGTAGACCATCCTATCCTTCTGGGCAAATCGTTCATGTGCAGGACGGAGACCCTAATCTTCAACAAGCACGACGAAATGATGATATTGCTCCTGAGTGATCCAGACTGTGGGAACTACGAAGTTGTCACCTGCCGGAACACGGGGCCAGGGAGCGAACGGAATAGGTCTAACCCCGGCTCATTCACCTATGTGGAATCGGAAAACGAGCGGCGGAGGCTCGCGGAGGAGTCCGAGGAGGAAGGTGGGGCAGAGGTGCTGTCACTAAGCCTTACAGACGTAAGCAAGGCTATGGAGATTGTGGCGGCACATGAGATGGCGGATCCGGAGGCCATCAAGGCCTTGCGAGAGCATGTTTTGGAATGCCCGCAGGCAGGAGAGGTGGAGCTTATCTATCGGCTTCCCGGAGGAAGAAAGGGGTCTGCAATGGCGCAAGCGCAAACAACAAGCCGGCCTTTTTTAGGGGACGGCTCAAGCAGGGCGCCCAAAGGCAGTACAAAACGGTAGATAAGAAGTGTCGCCCTGTTCCCGTGCTCGTTACGGAAGATGAAAAGGCCTATTACGAGCGGGAGCGAGGATTGATACGGTGGATGCAAGAGCAGGCGTTGAGGGATCCATGCCGTATCAATGATGGAAATGAAGGAGAGTTAATAGTCGGGGAGCCAGGTTTTCTCTCGCCTCAGGAAAGGATGCTGATGTTGCAGCTGATGAAGAAAAGGCATCGCGCATACGCCTTTAATGACGACCAACGTGGGAGGCTGGATGTGGACAAGATCTTGATGATCCGGATCCACACAGTTCCCCACAAGCCCTGGAACTTGAGGGGTGCGCGATACCCAAACCCTGATGAGGAAAAGATGGTGGTGGATTCTCTGGATGGCAAGATGCGCACGCATATTGCCGGCTACTCTAGTGGTCCGTATGCTTCCCCTTGGTTCTGCTTTATTAAGCCAAACGGGACGCTACGGTGGGTACAGGATTTGCAGCGGCTGAACGCAGTAACGGTGCGAGATGCGAGAGGCTTGCCGAACGCAGATGCACTGTCAGAGTCATGCGCAGGGAGGCCTATAATTTCACTTATAGACCTTTACTCCGGGTATGATCAATTTCCTGTATACCCACCCGATAGGCCGGTGACGGCGATGCACACTTCAACGGGGCTAATCCACATGAATGTGGTTCCTCAGGGTTGGACAAATGCAGTGGCGATGGTGCAGAGACATATGATCAGGGTCATGCAAACAGTCAGCCCGCACATCACCCAGCCCTACATCAACGACTTGGCGGTTAAAGGGCCAAAAGAAAGAGAGGAGGACGAGGTGCAGCCCGGAGTGAGACGCTTTGTTTGGAGGCATATCCTGGATCTTGATCTAGTCTTGGGTCTGCTAGAGGAGCACAACCTCACTGCAAGCGGGCCAAAATCCAAGCACTGTATGAGAGAAGCCACCATCCTAGGGTTTGTCTGCAACGAGAAGGGTCGGAAGCCAGATGTGAAGAAGACAGACAAAATCTTAGGATGGTCAGTGCCTTTCTAGACCATAACGGATGTGAGAAACTTTCTTGGCACTTGCGGATTTTTGAGAAGCTTCGTGAAAGACTTCGCCGCCAAGACCGAGCATCTAAGGAAGCTGGTGCGCCAGGACCAGGAGTGGGTTTGGGGCGAAGACCAGGAAGAAGCGGTAGCCAGGATGAAGGGAGAGTTTAAGGAGGGAGGGTTGGTGCTAGGGGCGCCAAATTATGAAGGGACTAAAGAAAAGTCGTTCATCATCGAGACAGACGCTGGGCCAACTTCATTAGGAGGGGTTTTGATCCAAGCGGATGCCGAAGGAAAGGAAAGACCGCTAAGATTCGAAAGTCGCACTCTTAATACGACTGAGAGGAACTACTCTCAGTTCAAGAAGGAGACGCTCGCGGTACTCCATTGTCTAAGGGTCTTCCAGAATTGTCTTCGACAGGAGATTTATATTAAGGGTAGACCCTACGGCGCTGGCCTGCTCTTTGAAAAATTATACACCATCTAACCCAACCGTCGCTCGATGGTTGACGTACATTTGGATGTTTAATTTTGAGCTGGAAAGGATTCCGGGGAACAAGAATAGAGCTGACGGCCTGAGCCGTGTTAACTGGGACAGTGCAGATCAGGGGTCGATCGAAGACACCCCGCCAGTTGACGGGTTCCTGGATCAAGAAGAAGATGTGTGACTCTATATAAATAAGTAGGCGCTGCGAGTACCTAGTTGTGTTAGCTATCCCATATGGATAGCACCATGAGGGTATGAGCGGAAGGCCGACTTAGTCCTTAAGCCATTTCAGGAAGAAGACCCGTGGGGAGGCAAGGACACCAAGTGGATGATGAAGTTAGCGCTCACAGGGATGCATAGCTTGGTGGAAGAGGTAAGGACAATAGAGGAAGGGCCTCTTCAGGTAGAGGAGCATGAGCAGTTAATGGGAGGGATGTATCTGCTCATTAATACACTCCTGCAAGGGGATTTCGACCGGAGAGGCGCGTTTAGTCATGAGGAGGATGAAATCCTGATTTTAGAAAGTCAGGATGACGAGTTCGAAGAAGGGGAGATTAAGGAGGCATTCCGGGCAGAGGAATACGGCGGGATCTATCTCGAGCTGGGCCTACTTCTATCCTGTGAGATGAGGGACAGGGATGCTAGCGACAAGGCGCAGAAGTTGAGGCACCTCTACGTGGTAAGAGATGGACATTTGTTCATAAAGCGGCAAGTTGGGAATCCCAAGCGGATTGTGTGCGGGAGGAACCGACAATTAGACATCATAGCGGCATTACATGATGGTATAGCAGGTGGGCACAGAGGGGTGAGTGCCACATGCGCAAAGATAAGCGAGCTCTACCATTGGGATGGAATGCTGACGATGGTCATCAAGTACTGTCGATCTTGTATACCTTGCCAGGAAAGGTCAGCGCAAAGGCCGGGAAAGCCCCTGCACCCAAGGTTGGAAAGGGAAGTGGGTGCGGTTGTACACCTGGACCTGCTGTTTATGTCGATGGGGGAAAATGGGTGCAACTACATCTTCGATGCATGCGACAATCTCACCGGGTTTGTAGACAGGCAGGCTATCCGAACGAAGACCGACCCAGTTTTGGCAAGTTGCATCGAGGAGTATTATCTGCGCTATCCTTTCGTCAAGGAGTTCGTGATGGACCGGGGGTCAGAGTTTACCTGCAATGAGGTGCGGACTTTGCTTGCTGGATATGGAGTAGTGGCCAACTACACTACGGCCGCGCACCCCTAAGCGAACGCTCCTGTGGAAAGGGGGCACAGTACCATCACGAACCTCTTGGCTAAATGGATAGAGGGCAAGCCTGGTCAGTGGCCGAAATTCCTACGAGCGGCTTTTTTTGTGGAGAATATTACGGTGAAGAGGACTACCAAGTATGCGTCAGCCACGCTATGGTATGGGAGGCATGCCACCTTCCCTATAAAAAGCTTTATGAAAACGTGGAGGCGTCAGGACTTGGAAGTAAACCTGTCCTTCGAGGAGCTGCTCGATATCCGGGCGCGGCAAGTGGGAGCAGCCGAGGAAAGATTGCGAGAGGCGGCTGGTCAGGTAGAGAGAAGTCGTATGGAGGATAAGATGAGGTGGGATCAAATGGCGCGAGTGCGGAAAGAGCCCTTGGCCGTGGGAGATAGCGTGCTATTATACGACTCATCCCTGGAAAAGCAGTGGTCACGAAAACTTGACAAAAGATGGTTGGGGCCCTACAGGATTGTGCGATGCGGCGAGTTTGGGGCGTACCAGATCGAAGAGCTAAACGGCATGGAATGGAAAGATTGGGTATCTGGGACAAGACTAAAGAAGTTCGTGGCCAGGGAATAGGTAAAGCCGCAACCCTTCCCAGTAACTGCGATCCCTCCCAGAATAGACCCTCGTCCTAAGTATTGCATGTCATAATTGAAAGCGAAGAAAAGCTTGATATGTCTGAAAATTGGGTGTATATTTGCTCTGAGGACTGCTGAAACCATATACTGATCATGTCGTCTGCCTGTCTGTTTCGTTTCGCCTGATGTGCAGGTCTGACTTCTTGAAGGCAGCCATGCAGAGGGGCGGGCGGGGCACGCGGCCACGACAGAGACCTCTCGGGGCATCCTGAGGGTGGGAGCAGCATGGGCCCTTCAGGAGAGAGCTTACACACGTGTTTGATAACGACAATATCGAGCTTTTCCTGGACGCCTACCGAGAGCATGCAGCCCGGAGAGGATGGGACGTGTCTGAGAGGGTACGTCATTTGAGGGGAATTGGGAGGTTAGAGGAGCCCATTGCGCAGATCAAAGAGGAGGCCCTGACGTGGTCGGAGGTAGAGGCAAGGATGCAGAGACTGAGAGCTTCACCTTTGGGAAATGATGGGCTGCCTATCTGCTTGGAGGAAGGGAACGTGGAGGAATTCATCCCGGCATACGAACGGTATATGAGTGATCAGGGGGTTCCGATGGATGAGTGGGTACAGGCGCTGCGCCTTTGGACCAGAGAGGCGGAGCGTCCGCTGGCAAGACAAATCCAGAGGCAGACACAAGATTGGGAGGATTGTCGGGCTCAGCTGAGGGTGGCGTTTTGGCGACCGGAACCAGAGAGGCCAGAACCAAGGGTTGATAGAAGGCGGCAAAGCAAGAGGTTAAGGGATTTGGAGGCAAGAGAGCCGGTGATGTCCAGAGGTGGCCGGAAGGCCCTGGCACAACGGGAAGGAGGACAAGCAGGGGCCGGCTAAGGCAAGCGAGTCCTTCCCTACTTGTGGCCTCAGGCAGGTGGAGTTCCACCAAGTTACAGAGGATGACCTACTGAGGCCCTCACCACAGGCACCAGAGCAGAGGGAGAGCGAGGTACCAGCAGCGCCTTTCAGGAGTCTGGAGGCCCACTTAGACACGTCCCAGTGGGAGGCCCCTTCAACAGGAGAGAGCCCTACGGACCCATCAGGAGGGGAGCAGACTCGCCTAGAGCCTGAGGCGGAGCCACTCGGATTGAAGGGGGTAGGTGTAGAAGATGTCATTGTGGTGGAAGGTAACACTCCCCCTGACTCCCCAGCTCGAGCTCAGACACGGCGGTCCTGGCCAGAGGGCGTCGCGGAGCCAGACAGCCAGGAGGCCCCAGTACCACCAGAGGCCACTATGTCACCCAGGCAGGAGGTTGAGGCGAGAGGGTCAGTGGAGGGGTGGAGGACGGAGCCTCGCCTGATTGTCGACTCACGCTTAGCCGCGCACGCAGCCGAGCACCCTGACATTGAGGAGCCCAGCCTGGTAGGGCCATCATCGGGCCCAGCAGGTACTGAGTTAGGAGAGGGTTTGCAGACTGCGACTCGAGAGGTCACGGAGGCAGGCACAGGAAAGGAGCCAGATGGAGCCGCCCGGGTACGAGCTCACCTTGAGGAGATACATGAGCGCAGGGACAAGATGGAGGATGCAGGGATAGCGCCAAGGCCACCAGTCACCCCAAAGACAAGTGAAGAGAGGATTGACGAGTTATGGGCCAGGTATGAGGGACGGAGAGAGGCAGCTCGCCAGAGGGCACGAGAGGCGGGCCAGGCGGTTGAGGGTGCCGACGAGGCAATAGAGGTTGGGGAATTGGGGTTTTCTGCTGCCAGGGAGGCCATCAAATGGGTAGACAAAGGGATAAAGCAGACATTCATTGAGGCCTTTCACAGGTACTCCCTGCTTAGTGACGAGTTGGCTCTCAGGAAAGATGAGGTGGAACAGCTAACTGCCCAACTCGCAGAGGAGAAAGCCGAGAACAAGGCCAGGCAAGCTCGCCTGGAGGCGAAGGAGGCTGAGTGGGAGGCAAAGCTCAAGGAAATGGCGGCCGCAGTGGAAAGCTTACCGCCACCAAAGTGATGGACTGGACTGAGCAGAGCAGGTACGGCATCCAAGGCAGGGAGGTGCAAGGGCTTTTTGGCCAAGAGGGGGCAGCAGAGGCATCTCGGAAAGAGAAGTTGGGGAAGGTATTTCTGGACCCAGTAGAGCCAGAGGACAGAAAGGAAGCCAACAAGGAGAGTTTTGAATTTAGGGCTCCCACTGAGCTGGCTTCACAGCAGGAAGCCGCTACTTCGGCAGACGCTCCTATGGAGGTGCTGACCCAAGAACCCCAACCTACATCAGTAGGAGAAGGGGAGGCAGAGGAGTCATTAGCAATCCTTCTGAACGTACAGGAGGGGACACTCACCGGAGCGGTAGGGTCTCCACAGCCGGAGGCACAAGGGGAGGAACCATCACGCTTGGACGAGTTGGTTGCTGCCATGGAAGTGGATATGCCGCCAGAGAGGCCTCAGGAGCTGGAGGCCCCAGAGCACGAGCCAAAGTTGGAAGAGTTGAGGATACAGCTGGGCTCGTGGGCCACTGGGACCGATTCGGGAGGTCCGACTACTGAGCAGCGGCAGCAGGAGGCCACGAGCCAGCCTACTAGAGCCACTACTCCCAGGCTCCGGGGCCCAGAGAGGGGGAGGAGGAAGCCATATTGGAGGTAACCCGCGAGGGCCGGCCACTGAGATTGGATACCCCTGAGTACCAACCCGAGAGAGAGATGCAGCAGGGGGAGTCAAGTGCCCAGGGAATCGAAGGGGAAGCTGAGGGACCGTGGCACCTGCCCCAGAGTCATGAAGCGAGTAAGGAGAAGGAAGAGGCGCCTCCATCGCCAGGGACCCAGAAAAAGAAGAAGAGATTTCAAAGGAAATTTTGGGCTATGTGTTTCTATTTTCTGGACGGAGTGCATAGGGCCCTGGACTGCCCTAAATTCCTTAAGGACAAGGCTCAGGGCCGGGTTACTGAGGAAGGTGGCAAGATGTATGATAGACAGGGCCGAGTGGTAGAGAGGGCTCCTTTGGGGGTCGAGCCCAGTTGTATAGGCAAAACCAGGAGGAGATGAGCGAGTGAGAGGCTGGTTCGCCTATACGTCAGTAGCAGTGAGGTGTTTTCTGTACATAGAAAGAGTAAAGTCAAGGGCATAGGGTATCACGAGTCAGATACGTGTATCTTAGGTGTTATGTGCGACAAAGGACCAATRTACAATAAGGTTTTGAGGTTCTTTTCRYATTRGGAYCTAAAGACTGGGACTTAGYTGTGWGATACTTAGGACACYTAGTTRTATTGCGTTTTGTTTTGAGATCAGAGTCTACCTATAGGTGATGTGAGAGTCAGTAACACCTAGGGTATGAGCCCATTGGATATGAGAGGGGGGCAGAACGTTTGAGAGTTGATGTTGAGATTTGAGAGACATTCTATTGTTGAGTGTATAACTGAGTGAGGTCTTGAGACTACCCCCCTGTGTATGACGATCACTCGCACTCTCACATGTGTAGCTTTCTGATGTATGATGATTTGTGTGGGATTTGTATGACAAACAGTTCATATGTTTATGCCTTGTTAGTAAATATAAAATTGTCTACTCTTCGGTATACTCGCGCAATCTGCCTGGGAGCAGATGTTAGAGTCGAGTATAAGGAGAGGGAGCGCGGTTTGTTTTTGTGAAACAAGTTGCAAAAATCCACAGCGGGCCTATGAGTCATTGGGACTCGAAAGCTTATCATGTCAAATGTTTAAGTATCTAAATGGTATTAGGGACCCATAAGTTGGCCCCTTGTGTTGTATTGTTGTCATGATTGAATTGTACACTATGAATTATTTGGGAGACTTATCTTCAGAAAAGGAAGATGTTTTACACACGTCTTATGAAGACCCATCCTAAGGAAGAAAGGGATGGTTAACATACCTATTGAGTGAAACCTCCCCCATAGGGAGGATGATTAATAGACATGATGGCATGAAAAGCTGGGTTGGTAAGATGAAAGACTGACGAAAGGAACCATGTTTTAAATGACCACTCGATGAAATTTCTTGAGAATGTCGCAAAAATGTTTGCTTTTGAGAAGTGTCCCTGAGGTGTGTGACCCTCCTACCCTGATCAAGTTAGGGAGTCACGGCCTGGTGGATCTGGCGGTGCCCTATGATTGTGAATGTGGAGAGGTGGCCATGCCCCCACTGTGTTGTCCCACGGGGAGCTGGTAAATGTCTGTCATGTATGACAAGCCCATGCGCAATCCCGCAATAGGCTTGTGTTTGTTGCGACGCACCGCTCGACCACTTGTGCTAACCTCATGACACATAAGGAAGACCAAGCTAAACGGTTAAGTTTTAGCACCACTAGGGCGCAACCCCTAGGGATGGCCGCGGGTTGGCACAACCTGGCCGCGGGCCCACGTCTGACCACAGGAGTAAAGACTTAAAGGGTGTGGCCGTCCGGGAAGGTTTTACCCCTGTTGAACGGCCTGGGATAGGAGTCGAGTCATATGAGTCTTTTTGGGAAGTCCTGATTGGGTGCTTATCAGGAGAAAGCCTATCGTGGCGCAACCTGCGAGGGCACTACCGCTAGAATAACAACGTGGTGGGCCGTAGATCTGGCCTGATCAACCAGACTATGGTGGGCCAAGATGGAGACCTAGCTCTTCCGTACTAGACTGCGGAAGCCGCTGAGAGAGAGTCAAGGACGCACATATCTATGTGTCTAATTATGAGGGGTTTCTTGAGAGAAAGGCAAAAAGTCTTCAAAGGTCTTGGTTAGGGCCCGCGTCCCCAGTTATGACCCTGCTTACCAGAAACAATGTCCGACTCTGTAAAACCCGTCCAATCGCAAGCAAAACTGCCTTCCTCCCAACCTCCCCCCCTGATGCAACCCTTTGTGACAATCAGCCGTAAGACAATCAAAAAAACTGAAACTGCCATTATACAATCATTCCTTTAGTTGACCTAACTTGTGTCCTGAAAGTTAGTCCAAAAGTTAAAGTAGAGGTTGCATTCAGCATAGCCAAACAATACATAGGGAGGAATGTAGGTAGGGGTTATACTAGGTTTATAAAGGAAAGCAATGGTTACCTTTCAGTTCCCTGCCTCCAGAACTCCTCCTGAGTTCCGGCAGAGCTCCCACAATCCGTATGGCGAACCTCCCACAATGGCCTTGGCGCGGATTACGGGTTGCAATCCCGCCTGCCGCCTTCCTCTCAGAACCAATGGACTAGACTGAGAGTGAGAAGGGCAGAAGAAGAAACATTGAGTCTCTCAGATACAAGAGGGGTGCACTCAAACTCGCATGAGAGGGCCTTGATGTCTTCAGCTCCTGAGGGCCCCGCAATAATGGCCAAAAGGACAGTTTGATCATCTCCCAAAGTCAGCCAATGGAATCAAACTCCCAGACCCCCGATTCGAAGTGGTAACTTCTCCTCCCGCGTTGCCCCACTCTTCCAAGCCCCTGTGGCAGCGACGTCCTCATCACTCTTATTGCAGTCACTCATCACCAAGCAATCACTCTCTGAGTGTTGCAGCTGTCCGCAGCAACCTGTCGTGATACGCAGTCGCCCGTAGTCCGTACATAGTCCACAGGCGCAACCGCAACACCCAGCAATCGCCGCAGCACAGTAAGCTGGTCAAAGCCTGTAGGTGATCACCTAGGCGCAACAGCAGCCCGCGTCGGCCAGCAATTGCAGCACCCAACAGCATACAACAACTTTTCTTCCAACCCAGCCGCAGTCGCTTGCCACTAAACAACCACACTCTAGGCACCTCAGCAGCCTGTAGTAGGCCCAGCGATCGCTGTTGCACAACAAGCCGACCAGTGCCCGTGTGCAGTCACGCAGGTGCAGCAGCAGCTCACGTCATCTTAGCAGGAGGTTTGTGCACAGTTCATAGACGTCATCGCCACACACAGCAGCAGCTAGCAGATGCGGCACCCAGAAGTATGGGGTCGTCAGTGGCAACATGCGGCAACTCTCCTCACAGCCCAGCCTCACCCTTTTACACCCCGCCTTCGTTCTCTAGACAACAGTAATCAAGAACGATTTTGCAATCCCCAGCCTTCCGGTAGCTGCTGGGTCAGAAACGCGATTTGAATCTGCAAGAGTCATGGCGGTCGAAGCAACACCCAATCGTTGTGGCGCACCGCAACACCCATGGCACCTCCCACAGCAATTCGTAATTGGCCCGTGGTAGTCAACTGTAGTCAGCAGTAGTGCATGGCATCCTCAGCAAGTGTCCCAGCAACACCTTTTATCAACAACCCGATCGTAGCAGAGGGGAATACACCACTACTAGAACGTGGTTGTATGTACAGCTGTTCAGACATACGCGCCGTAAACCAATCCTGATAGGATACACAAGGTCGAGCGAATCCCCCGCTAAGAGAGCTAAGGGGTGATATCCTCCATCGTTTAGGTACAACAACGTATCGGCCGACAGATAAGCCTCCGACTTCGTTGCTGTTCCTTGCTGCTTCGGTCGACTGGCGAGTAAGATCAGAATGAGCCTTCCGTTGGGGCGTAAATAGATACGTCGTCACCTGTCGTGCACGGTCTGGCACGGTAACTCTGAATGTCGATTGCTGCTGCACTACTGGTCTTACGCGGCAAGTGCTATCCCTCCTCTCTCTAGTGCTAGCAATCAGACGGCGACACACGCAGCTGACCGGTAAGTCTCCACACCTGTAGTCTCCACGCTTGTAGTCCTGCCCTTCGCTCTGCTCAGCTCAAATGTCGCTTTAGCATACTGATCAGTAACACACCTTCGTTGCCTTACCTGGTAGGGTGAGAAGTGCATCAGCCAGTACGTCGGCTCTCATGCTCAGCGGCCCACCTACAGTCGCTCCCCTTGGTGTAGTGAACAGTACTCTGGCCAGACAGGTGGGTTCACGATCGCACCTTCGGCTTCCTGCTATTTCGTGTTGTCGAGGCAGCGGTGCCCTGTCCACCATGTACGTTTCCAACCCCCAGTTCTTACCCCTGTTCACCGCGTCCAATGGAGATGGCCATGGCATAGTAGGACTGACCCAGAATCTCGAAACTCTCTGAAGGAGGCTACTTCCTTGCCTGGGCCTTTGCCCCTCGAGTACGCAGGAGGAGGGCGACTCTTCCCCAACTTGAGAAACGAGACTAGGTACGTGCCCTCTTTCTATTTCCTCACCTTTCTACTTTTCTATGCTATCCCTCCTGACTCTCGCTTAGCTCAGAGTCTACTGTTGTCGGTAGGGACGAGTAAAAAAAAAAAAAAAAAAAAAAAACAAGTGAAATCTTCGCTAGAACATGGAAGTATACATTCCCATCCTTAGTCGTGCGCATAGAGAGATAGGGCGACTATCCTACCACCGACATAGGCAATACATCGGACAGTCGGGTAGGTATCTCCAGCCCTGCGGCCGGCCCCACATCCCTTCTACTACTGGTATGAGCAGAATTAAATGAATCTTCCGCTAAAACACGGCAAGATACATTGCCAACTTCTCCTTCCCCCTTCTCCGACCGCAGTTTTTAATGTTCGCATCGCTTAACCCACATACTAGCCCTCGAATCCGGTATTGCCATCGGATTCGCTCCTACTCTAAACCTCTAGCTCATCCTCCCCTCGCCTGCTCTCGCTGAGAAGCGAGCGGGCACACACCTTCAACCTCCTCTACTCCCGACACTCCGCCATAGCCCGGGCGCACCCTTTCCTCTTCCTACCTGCTATTTTACTAACATTTTCCTA